CATCCTGTGCATTAATAAATCTTTTAAAACCTTTAAGATTTGATACATCCTTAGTAAAATCTTTAATCTTCGATAAAGTTTTTTGAAATCTATAAAAAGCTAAATAATATGATTTTTCACGAAACTCCTCCTTCTCGGTCTCTATATTTCTTTCTATTTTCGCTATAGAACATTCTGCTATTTTTACTCGGTTTTTCATTACAAAACAAATTTCTTTATTACATTCTGCTGCATTACATATTTTAAGAATTTCATCAACTAAAATCTTCGCCGATCCGATTACAGGAAAATAGAGGGCTGCGATATCAGTAAAAGTTGTAGAAGCAATTTTCGCAGCGTTATCAGTAGTAGTTATTTCATGAACATCACTTGATTGATCTGCCTTTCCAACTTGATTATCAAGCAGCTAAAATAGACCATTGTAAAATTAAAATTACTTTCAAAAACATTAGGACATAGTAATATGCAATCCTGATCACACTCACTTGATCAACTTCTAGGGTATTAACTTTTTGCGCACCGGAAATTTCGACAGTAAAATTTAGTTCTACCATACACTCATCAAATTCCTTTATTAATTGTTTATATTTATTTTTAACATCTTGTGCATTTCGAAATTCTTTATAACCTTCAAGCTTTGATACATTCTTAGTAAAATCTTTGATTTCCTTTAAAATATTTTTAAACTCTTCGAAAGCTGAATAATATGATTTTTTGCGAAATTCTTCCTTGTTCTTCTCTATATCCTTTATTCTTTTATCCATAGAATACTCTGCTACTCTTATTTGATCGGTTATAACTTTGCAAAATTCTTTATTACATCCCGCGTTCTCGTAAATTTGATAAATTTCACCGACTAGAAACTTCACAGCACCGATTATAGGACTATAAGAGGATATGATCTCAGTTGTAGCAGGCGAAGGTTTCGTGATTTCATGTGTTTCTGTGTTAGTTGAAGGATTCCAAGGTAAACAAAGTGATGATGTCTCGATTTCATGTGAATCTATATGCACCTCCAGATTAAGATTTGAAGTTTCATTATGATTTGAAAAAGTTTCATTATTTTTAATTGATTCTAGGTTTATAGTAGGTTCAACTTCCTTGAGTTGTTCTAGAATCGATTTTGTTTCTGGACGTTTAGAAGGTTCATCGTCCCAGCATTGGCTATAAAGTTCAACATATTTAGGCGGTGTACCTTCCATAGGCTTTTCTCTATTTTTTAGGCTTATGTGAATGAGCAAGTATTTTGTTTCGAATGATTGATATGGTGGCCTTCCACTTGAAATTTCCCAGAGGATTACTCCTAAGCTATAAATATCAGATTTCATATTACGTTTATATTCCTGGTTAGTAAAACATTGAGGATCTATATATGCCAGAACTCCATGAACAATTGTGCACGAAGTCATTGATGCCTCATTTGACTGTCTTGAGAGCCCAAAATCTGCAATCTTCGCCTGTCCTTTATGAATTAAAACATTCTTTGAATGCTATAAAATAATTTCTATATAAATTAAAATTATCAAAATATATATTTATAATTATGTAATACAATACACTTACGAGGTCCCGGTGAATAATATTTTTACTATGTAAGAACATAAGACCAAGCGTAATTTCCTTGGCAATTTGTAATTTATCTACCCATTGAAGTTTTTCGAAATTTAATCGCAGGTATTCTCGTAAATTTTTTCCATTAGCATATTGTAGAATCATGTTGTAACATCCTCTATGGTCTATTTATTTATAAAAAAATATTCAAATTTAATAATTTATTCTTGCATGTTAAAAGTCAAAAATATATGCACCTTTTGTGATTCCATGGAATGTAATGATATTTGGATGGCCAGAAAGTTTTCGTAAAACTTTAAGCTTTTGTTGCATGGATCATAAGAATTATTATATGACTCGATAATTAAAATACGTATTTTTTAGTTTACATAATAAATTATACCTCACTAACAAATTCTCGAATGATTTCTTCATTTGATTTTGTATCAAAATTAAGAATATCAATATTAAGACATTTGAATGCAACTGTTAAACCACACTTCTTCCATTCGTACTTAGAAACAGTTCCAAATCCTCCTTTACCAATAAAATCACAATAAGTAAATTCACTAAATTCAGAAAATTCAATATATCCATCGAAAATTGCTTTTTTAAGCCATTCTTCTGAAATGTTTTCTATAGTTTTAATAAAGAATTAAATTTATTATCGAAAGTGAAGATGATGCTTTGATTTAAAACGCATTTACATACCTCGATTTGAAGAGGAGGCTTTATTAACATTAGGTTGGTTTAAAATTTCATCAATGAGTCGTTTCAATGTATTGAAAATTAAATTTGTTTCTGGACGATTAGCAGGTTCATTGTCCCAACATTTTTTATAAAGGACTTCATATTCAGGTGGTGTGTTTTCTATAGGATTTTCTCTTCTTCCTTTGTAGACGTCAATAGCAAGATCAAATGATTCAAGATATTTAAATGGTGGCGTTCCACTTGAAATTTCCCAGAGGATTACACCAAGGCTGTAGACGTCTGATTTTATATTACGTTTATATTTTCGATCAACAAGAAATTTAGGTTCCATGTATGCCAGTCTTCCATGAACAATTGAGTTTGAAGTTATCGGTTCATTTATCTGTCTTGATAGTCCAAAATCTGTAATCTTTGGTTGTCCTTGATAAATTAAAATATTCCTTGAATGCTATAAAACAGAAATAAAAATGATAAAATTATCAGATGTTTACTAAACTATTAGATCTATGCAATACACTTACAAGGTCCAGATGAACTATCTTACTATAATGTAAGAACATAAGACCATGCACGATTTCCTTGGCAATACGTAATTTATCTGCCCATTGTAGTCTTATAAAATTTGATCGCAGATATTCTTGCAAATTTCCTTCATCAGCATATTGTAAAATTATATTATAGCATCCATCGTGGTCTATTTATTTATAATATATTCTGCAAATCAGAATAACCGTTATTTTTTACTTTTAATTTACCGTATTACCTTTTGTGACTCCGTAGAATTCAATGATATTTTTATGGCTACAAACGTCTCGCCATAATTTAAGCTTTTATTGCAATAAACAGAAGGAATTTATTATACAATTAGACAATTGTATAATTTACACTTATAGTTTGCATAATAAAATATACCTCATTAATAAATTCTTGAATAATTTCATTATTCAACTTTGTATCGACTTTAAGACATTTTAGTGCAACTGTTAATTCACAGTTTACCCATTCGTACTTGAAAACAGTTTCAAATCCTCTTTCACTAATAAGTTTACGATCAGTAAATTCATTATATTCACGACATACAATATGTCCATCGGAAATAGCATCTTCAAGCAATTCATCTAAAATATTTTCCATAGCTCAATAAAGGATTATCTTCAACTAAAAATTATCGTTAATATAGTATTATATGTAATGCATACGTAGGAATTATCGTTATATGCAGTTGTTAAAGTTGATATTTATGCACAAGTACGTACGTACTAGAGTTGCTGGCGAAACTAATCTTCAATGGTGCACCGATGGTGCACCAGGTGCACCAAATGAAGCTGGTGCACCGATAGTTATAGATGAAACTAATCTTCAACGATGCGCCATCGGTGCACCATCGGTGCACCGTTGGTACACCGATGGTTCTGGTGAAACTAATTAGTTTCACCAACAACTCTAGTACGTACATGCAGTACATAACAGTTAAGCGGGCGTCAACTATATCCTAGTTGGTAAAAATTTTGCCAACTAAAGAAATTAATACAGATTAGCCCGACTAGACGGAATATTTCAGAATTGAACGAGTTGATAATTAAATCGATTACTGTACAACGTGGACTACAATTTAAGCAGTGTATATGGGTAGAGGGAAACTATGGTCAGCGTAGGGGTATAAGTTGCACTATATGAGTGCCGCAGTAATATTTGTAATTAAACTGAAACTCTGATGACAGGTTTTCTTTATAAAAATTGATCCTGTCAATCATGCTTTCTCACGATTTTAGCGTTAATTGTAACAATTAATAATGCCTAAAGATAGTATTGTTTAGGTTCGTGAGTAAGGATGGATCAGTCCGGTCCAGTTCATCCGGTCCTAATAAGACCGGTCCATCAATGTTTTGTGGTCCGATCTCGCGGTCCCGACCTCCAACTATCCTATTGGCTAGCGGGGATATAATTGAAATAGGCGATTGTCTAAAATAATTTTTTAGTATTTTTAATTAGCTATTTATGAAGACCGATCCGAACTGGTCTCAGGACCGGGGACCGGTTAATCATAAGACCGGTCAAAAAGACCGGTCCTTATATCTTTCCAAGACTGATCCATCCCTATTTGTGAGTATTATAATAACTGGGCAAATTGTGATAATGCAGAATATACTGCAACAGGTCAGCTTAAAAAACTTAGCTACATTACATTGGCAGAATGGATAAACATACATGGTTAAGTGTAGATTCGGGTTTAATAGCTCGTTCATTCAAATGCTGTGGTATCTTGGTCGCTAGAGATGGATCTGAAGATAATCAAATCTTTGATTATGATCGTTTGTTATCTATGCCAATGATAACAATGCTGCGGATGAAAGTTTTAGAGAAGAAGAAAATATTTTTGATAATGATAGTCTTGGTTTCAATGAAGAGTTAAATTATGATGAACCAGGATATGATATCGAGGGGATTAAAAAAAAAACAGTCAATACAATCATGCTCATACCGTATATACAATTATGATACAATTATACAGTATTATACATACATACATTTATGATAATCAGGGTTTTTTTATTTCAATAATTGGATAAAGAGTTTTATTTTTTATTAAAAAATTGAATTATTAGAAATTACAACTAAAAAATTATTTTAATTGTGATGCATAATTTGTATATTTTTGATAAATAAAATTTTGCGATTCTTTAAAATATATATAATAAAAACAATCTCTAAATTAAAAAAAGTTTTATAAAGTGGAGGGAAACATGGAGGTAGATAGATAGAAACAAAAGAAAGAACTGTACAAGTGAGAAAAAACAAAAGGTGGATATTTCAGATCAAATGCCTAGGGGAGACACTGCTGACCTTGGCAGAATTAAATACAAGAAGATCCAAAATCTATAAATCAAATACCTGCATAGTATGCAAGGACAAGGTAGAAGATATAAACCATCTCGCTGAATGCAAAGAATACCAAAGTATATAGAACATTATCGAAAATGAAGCTAGTGATGAAGGTTTCAAGATACTTCAAAAAGAAGATGCAGGAAGTCTTAACAACAAAGAAGTAGTCAAGAATCTATTCTTTGGAAAAACACAAGAAGAGAAACTACAAACAAGAAGATGCATGATAAGAAGCCTTATAACCAAAACAAAAAAAGCAGAAATTACGGAGAGGATAAAAGATAAAGTCATAAGAAGTAAAGTGCTCAACATGATTAAGAAGAAGTTCGATGAAAGGTTCAGGACTTGTGTCTAGAACTTCAGATGTGAACTATTAAACGACTGGAAAAAAGAAAACGAAATCACCAAGGAAGTCAAAAGAAAAAAAATAACAGTATAAAAGAAGAAAACAATGCAGGATATAAGCAACAAAGAAAACAGGATCGCAGAAAAAGAAAAATGGAAAAAGACCTATGAAGAAAAAGAAAAGTGAATCCTAAACATGGTGAAAAAAAATAGTCAAAACTTAATCAAATATTGCACCAAACCAGATTGGTCCTTCTAGACCAATATTACTAAAAGAAAATGGTAATGTTGACAAGGTCAACAGCTTCTAGCTAAAGATCAGAGAAAACAAATCCTTAGAAAATTGAGGATCTAACGTGAAGCAAATTGGCTGCTTAAGTGGGTCACACCTGGGTTTTAATGTTGAGTGAGTCTTTATTAGTACAGGAATATAGTATAAAAAATTTATATTTATCATAAATATAAAATTTTGGTAATTCCAACTTAAATAATAAAGGCAAGATTGCCAAAAAAAAAAAAGCTTTATAAAATACGACTACCAATTCAATTTATATATATTTATAAAAAAAAGTCTATGTTAAAATACATAAGTGAGTACTATATATTTATTCCATGGGTACTATATAACAACCCGTGCTTTTTCTTCTAGGTTATTTTCACCGGTCTATATGAAAATCATGATTTCATATAGACCGGTGAAAATAATCTTGTAGTAAGTATTTTATGAGGCCTGATTTTTTT